GACGTGGTGACGTGGTGACGTGGTGACGTGGTGACGTGGTGACGTGGCGACGTGGTGACGTGGTGACGTGGTGACGTGGTGACGTGGTGACGTGGTGACGTGGTGACGTGGTGACGTGGTTATAATCAATGATGAAGACGACACCACTTAGTACGGTCGTTACAAGAAACCTACGGCCAGACTGACCGTGAGACATCTGCATCTGAGAGACCCTACGGCTACAGCTGCTGTACGGCCACTGGGAATACGGCTGACAACGGGCGGCTACAGCTGCTGTACGGCCCCTAGAAATACGGCTGCAAATGCGCGCGTGAGATACGGTCGTTGCGGGAGTCGTAACATATTATACGGGAGCATTCTACGGTTCAAAATAATACAGTTTCTGATAATAAAAGTAGAAGATTTTAGTGATGTTAGCTGATAGGTTCTCAATTTTGATGGTGTTCGGACTTTCTTTTTCATGTACTAGAGATTTTTTACGTATGATGTGAACTTTAATCTTATAATTTAATATGAAATGTTCCGATGTTTCATTACAACCCTCTACCTGTACGAATTTTGCCGTAAACTTACTTATTCATACGAGGACTTAATACGTACCTAAAATTAAGCCACTATACGGAAACCAACCGTAGAGGCTTTTAATTTTTTTAAACCGCAGTGGCTTTTTAATTTAAACAACTCCTCCAATTAAAGCGATTGACGATCGAGAGATAAAACACAAAATTTTCAATATCGCTAATAAATTTCTAGAAACCCTAAGGAAAACTAATTCCTAATCAATGTCGTCGTGGCAACGATTCAAACAGCAATATCAACAACAGCAAACTAGCAGCAACATCAACAGTGAAAACAACAACAATAACAGCAGCAACAATAAAGCTGCTTACACAGCAAGTATTAGCTGATAGTACTTTTCACTTCAAATATCGAGCAATAAATTGGAAGTAAAATAATTAATTTGTATTTCTAATAATCAATTTTATCAAAATTATCAAACATTTTGGCTAAAATAATAAAAAATCAATCTGACATTTGAAGTAAAAAGAACTTGCCGCTAATATTATAAGCTAATACTTGCGCCTTGTATAATCAAGCGCCATGACAACAACAACAATATAAACAGAAAAATCAATAAGAACAACATAAACAACAGCAACAGCGACAACAACAACAACAACAATATGAACAACAACAATAACAGCAACAATACCAACATCAACAACAACATCAACAACATAAACAGAAGAAAACAACAGCAGCAAACAAGAGCGCCGTCAAGTGGCCGCAGCAAATCAATAAGAGCGAAGAGAGCTCCTCCTGCCCCTCTTCCTGCTCCTCCTGCCTCTCTTCCTGCTCCTCCTGCCTCTCTTCCTGCTCCTCCTGCCTCTCTTCCTGCTCCTCCTGCCTCTCTTCCTGCTCCTCCTGCCTCTCTTCCTGCTCCTCCTGCCTCTCTTCCTTCTCCTCCTGCCTCTCTTCCTGCTCCTCCTGCCTCTCTTCCTGCTCCTCCTGCCTCTCTTCCTGCTCCTCCTGCCTCTCTTCCCTCAGTTGCTGTTATTAATAGCAGCTAATGCTATTAATTGTAGTTACATTTATCAATAGATAACACTGTTATCAACAAAACTGCTATTATGGGCTGCTGCTATTTACTCTGATGCTGTTTTTTCATGTCAGTTGCTCTTAGTTGATTATTTGCAGCGACATCATCAGCCTCGTAATTCATCGCAATGATGCCGGCAATAATCCTGCATCAGGCGAGTGGGGTGTGAGTGGGGTGTGATGAGTGGGGTGTGATGAGTGCGGTGTGATGAGTGGGGTGTGATGAGTGGGATGATGTGAGTGGGGCGTCACTCCTCCATCTTTAATCCCTCACAAACCCTGCATTTTGAGGGGAAGTTTGCCCCTCTCTCCCTACATGGCTGCTCTCTTCCATCATTCCTCTTCTTCAATGATATGGAAGAGCGAATATTTAATAGAATGATTGTATTTGATGGAATATTTGATGGAATGTTTGATGGAATGATTCATGCACTGATAATTTCGTGTCAACAGCAATAACAATGATTCACTAAATGATATATATAATGGTTATTTGAATGAATAATAGAATGGTTTGTGAAAGAAAGAACAAAGATCGCGAGCATAGTTGGCGATAACAGCACCAATA